ACTCACGCGCTGCCAATGTCGAATTCAAGGAGAAGATACTATCATGGGCCCACGGTGTATATGTTGATCTTCTCGCTTCCATCCACCAAGCCCGTCGAAACAGCATCTCCCAGGCCGGCAGTGATGGGCAGTCCCTGCGCTTGAAACCAAGCATATATCCCAAACCTCCACGACAGCCAGGCTTGGATTTCTCTCAGTCGAATAGTCCCGAATTCCATCGCCATAATAGCTACCCCTCAAGCCAATATGATGGGCGCCATCAGAAGACTAATATTGTTGGATATTCGAGGCCAGTGGATACCACGGCCACTTTCCAGAATAACCGCCGTCCTTCTATGAGTCAATTCCAACAGTACGCAACGTCAGATTCGCAAATGCTGGACAGATTGCGGCATACTGGCAGAGTTGCAGTTTCAGGGCCAGCTCCCCGTTTCTCCTTTTCTGCAACAGGTGAAAATTCCACCACCGCAAATGCCATCTCTGCTCTTGAAATGCTCTCACATCTCTGCATGGAGAGCGGTTGGGAGTGGATTGATGGGATGCTGCTTGGCGGCTGCCTTGCCTATGGACTTGGGGACTATCACAAAGCCATGAGGTGGTACTCCAGGATAATCGCGAGGGACGCAACGTAAGTACAGGTTGCCCAGGTTGTCATGTATATGTGCTGACTGCATTTAGGCATGTGGAGGCGATCTCGAATCTTGCAGCGACGCTGCTTGCGCTTGATCGTCGCGAGGAGGCGCTACAACATTGGCTTCGTGCTGTGAAGCTCCGTCCCAGTTTCTTCGAGGCTGTGGAGCATCTCATCGGTCTTCTTTGTAGCAGTCATCGTGGTAAAGAAGCCGTGAACATCATCGATTATGTGCAGAATTCCCTACGCTTTCCCAAAAATGGTGATTGTTTTACCACGGATGAACATGCGAGCGAAACGGAGAGTGATGCGGATAGCGGAACTTCAAGTGTTGGATCTTATGAGAAGGCATCGTTCGACTACGACGATGATTTCGGCCGGTCGCTGATCGGTGACCGGCGGCCATCTGAAGCTAGCGCGGTTGGCTTTGGCTCCAGCGGCTACGCTATACCAGGCCGTGACAATGGGAGAATGCTTGCGCTCGTTCATGCAAAGGGCAACATGCTCTACGCATTGGGCGATAATGCTGGTGCTGCGGCGGCCTTCGAGGATGCCGTCCTGGTTGCGGCAGGGAGACGACGCCATGGCATTCAAAGTCTGATTAAACAGATATATGCCGCCTTCTCCCAGGGTTCTCATCAGGCTTACTCGCCCTTGAACTCTCACACGACCCAGGAGACTATTCTTCTTTATCCTGATAAGGCCTTACAGACCTCGAAGCTGGTCTTTGCACCCTGCGGAACTCCCCCTGGGATCAAGTTTGTGGCCGAAGGCCTTGCAAGAAAAGCCGCCTTGTCAACTACGAGCAACTCACTGCTTTCCTTGGCAAAGATCTATCAAGACGGCATGTCCAATATTTCCGGTTCGGGCATTCCCAAGAAGTCTCCTGGCGTTCGAGACATCTTGGCACTCTATTACCTCTCCCTGTCCCTGCAGCCGAGTCCCTCAACTGCCAATAATGTTGGGATCTTGCTTGCTGGAATTCAAAACAATGCCGCCGGCAAGGGCCTCCCGCGTTCTAGCGGGGAAGCACAACACCCTGAGGTTCCTGGAGTGGTTCCCGGAAGTGGGATTTCACTGGCACTAGCGTATTATAACTACGGATTACACCTCGATTCGCGGCACGCGCATCTCTATACCAATCTGGGTAGCCTGCTTAAAGACATTGGGCAGCTCCAGGCCGCCATCCGGATGTACGAGCAAGCGGTTCATTGTGATGGTAACTTTGATATTGCGTTGGCCAATCTGGCAAATGCCGTCAAAGATGCAGGTCGAGTCAACGATGCGATTGCCTACTACAAGCGTGCCGTCAAAGTGAACCCTGAATTCGCTGAAGCAGTATGCGGACTGGCGAATGCCTTGAACTCCGTCTGCAACTGGGTCGGACGTGGAGGCATTGCCAGTGGGTACGGGTTCCGCGACCGATGGCATGTCACTGAGCAAGGGATGCTCCGTGATGCATCTACTAGCGAGGCCGGTACTGGCTGGATACAGCGCGTCGTTGATATCGTCAATCGACAGCTCAAGGAGGGGGAGTCGTGGGGTCGTGGTCTACTAACACCTAACACGATAGAGCAACTCTGCGTCCAAATCGCTCCGGCCTTGGAGAATCGCCACTCGGCCTCTGGGTCTTTGGCCGCCATACTGCGCTCTTGGGCTGGGCAAAAGTGGGAGGGCTCGCGAATCGTCAAATTGATCGAGCGTGCAAATCGTTCGATCACCTGGCAGTGGTACCAGGACCGCTATATCTACGGCAAAGAATACCCGCTAACCAAATATCAACGGCCGCAACTTCCACCGGGGCTCGCAGCGCCCAATGCGCCGACGGTTCTTCCCTTTCACACATTCACCTGTCCGCTTTCTGCGAAGCAGATCCGTCAGATTTCTCAAAGGAATGGCCTTCGAATCTCGTGCTCGACCCTACGTTCTCCGTGGCTTCCAGCTACGGTGTATCCACCGCCGTCACCTCCAAATCCCTATCTGAAGGTTGGGTATGTGTCGTCGGACTTCAATAATCACCCTCTCGCGCATTTGATGCAGTCTGTCTTTGGATTGCACAACCCGTCCAGGGTTAAAGCATATTGCTACGCAACCACTGCAAGCGACAAATCCGTGCATCGTCAGCAGATCGAGAAGGAAGCACCCGTGTTCCACGACGCCAGCTGTTGGCCCGTCGAGAGACTTGTGAAGCAGATCGTTGACGATGGGATCCACATCCTTGTCAATCTCAACGGCTACACTCGGGGAGCGCGCAACGAGGTGTTTGCTGCACGACCTGCTCCAATACATATGTCTTTCATGGGATTTGCAGGGACATTGGGCGCTGAGTGGTGCGATTATATTCTTGCGGATGAAATTTCCATTCCTGTCGATACGCTTAGCCCTGGAAGACGTAACGTCCGCATTGAGGATAGACTCTTGGAGCAGGACTACGGCGAGGAACTCGAGGACTGGGTGTATGGAGAGAAGATCGCCTATACTCGCGATACATTCTTCTGCTGCGACCATCGGCAAAGCGCTCCCGACGCGAAAGACGCGCGCATCACCTGGGAACTGGAACAGGAGCGGCGGTGGCGAATGCGGAAAGAACTGTTCCCAAATCTCAGCGATGACACGATCATCCTTGGCAATTTCAACCAACTGTACAAGGTGAGTATTTTCCTTATGATTGATTATTTGTGATGTGAGTGTGCAGTGTGCTGAGCCCTTCCATTCAGATTGAGCCAACAACGTTCCGTACATGGCTTCGTATACTGGCGCGCATTCCCAACGCCGTTCTCTGGCTGCTTCGCTTCCCCGACCTGGGTGAACAGAACCTCCGGGAGACGGCCATAGCGTGGGCTGGGCGGGAGACAGCATCCCGGATCATTTTTACGGATGTGGCTCCGAAGAATGCTCACATCGCTCGGGCGAAGATCCTGGACCTGTTCCTAGATACGCCGGAGTGTAATGCGCACACGACTGCGACAGACGTGCTATGGAGTGGCACACCACTGCTCACATATCCCCGCTACAAGTACAAAATGTGTTCTCGGATGGCGAGCAGCATCCTGGGCAGCGCGCTGCCGGACTCTGACGCTGGCCGCAAGGCTCGAAATGAGTTGACGGCCGTATCGGACGAAGACTACGAGGACAAGGCCATCCGCCTTTGTCTCAGTCTCCAGTACACCCCCGGGTGTGGCGGTCGAGCGCGAGGCCGGCTATTCGACCTCCGCCGGATGCTGTTTGAGGAGAGAATGGGGAGCCGTCTTTTTGATACCAAACGCTGGGTTCGTGATTTAGAGAATGCTTATGATCAAGTCTGGAAACGATGGGTAAATGGCGAAGAAGGTGATATCTGGTTATGATGTACGCATCGGAATATACCCCTTGAGCGTTCTGTTTCTGTGTCTTTTCTTGTTAATCCCATGTCATATGTCGCCCTATGCGTGTTTATATTGGTGATTTCCGCGATCTATGAGGTGTGAAACCTGGGTATTCTGGTCACCTCGGATCTAGGGTGATCCGTGATGTGCATACTGGCGTTGGATCTTTTGATCTTTTCTAGCAATGAATCTCCATGAAACTGCTGCGCAAGCAGCTCGGGTTGGCCATATCAGTTTTTCCGGAGTACGACTGCAGGATACGTATTCAACTATGAATTACAGCCTTCATCGCTGCAAATATGTACAAATGGACGGCTTAGAGCCTCATGCATCCCTACCACCACGTCATTTCCGGAAAGAAGTCAACCCGGTGAAATCTCCACTGGAAACATGTCCTCAGATCGCGTCAACCGCTGCAACAAAACCTCACAAGCATACTCTGCCTCTGTAAGCGCAACTGCTGCTGAATACAGACAATCCGCCCCCGCTGGACGGCGCATCCTTCCAGCTGAGCTTTTGGAAGCGGACACTAAGCAAAACAGGGGAGTACGCATAAGTTACTGGTAATGCTATGCATCTGCGTCTGGAACTATTACAAGTTATCGTTGGACATGTATGACCACTCTAACTGTGGTGGCAGCATCTAACAGAAACTGGCTGGTGGTTGATTGAGCAGCATGACTCCTTAGTTCAACCCCTGAAACTCGGATTTTCTGAGTCGGCAAGTGGCCATCTCTGCCTGTGATATTGTGCCTTTTGCGGTGTCAAGACTGCAGTCGACCTTGAACTGCCTGAATTCATGGCGTATATGCCATATGGCTGAACGCCATGGCAGTGATATTGGAGGATGGCAAGCTACATAACGCACCAGTCTACATCAACGCGAAATTGAAGTATGTCCTCAAGATATCCATCGTTTGTTTTCTCATCATATTCGTTGACCTAAGCATCCTCATGTGGGTGTCTCGCTGCTAAGGTCTATCTATAGGTTAATGAACAGCCAACTATGTCTTACAGAGCCTAATCAACCCCTGAAGCAGATCGTCATTCTCTTTAAACACTTTCCCAAACTTGGCCAGATCGTCAGCCTTGATCCCGCGCCGAACACTCGCCACCTTGGCGAGATTCCCCGCCGTGCGCCCTGTCCCTGCAAACAGGATATTCAATAGATCCATCGGCGCTGACTTTGGGTCGGTCAGGATGTCGTAGCCTGCCAGAGCCAAACTGGTAGTCACATCCGCCAACAGGGCCGCATCGGTGATCCAGGCGACCCCAGCGACGCTGCCGACAATCTCGCCCGCAAAGGGGAGAATGAGGAGGACAGCAGAGATGATGGTGATGATGAGGTTCCTTTTCTCTTCTTCCTCTTTTTCTTTCTCCTTTTCGCCAATGTCCTTCACCGTCGCCATGCTTTCGACGGCTTGGAGGAGCATGAAGACGGGAGTGGAAAAAGCCTCTACTGCGTCTGCGTCATCCCCGTCCCACAGGAAGAAGGAAAGGTCGGCCCATGTCGAGACAACGTCGCGCTGGAGAGCTTGGAACCGGGGCAACGCATTGGCAATTGAGTCTTTGGGGTTGGGAATGGTGAAGTCGGCCTTGGCGTGGGGGATATTTTGGTTTGTCTGTTTGATATTGTGGCAGACTATACCGCCGCTCCGGGGGTTTGGGGTGCAGAGTTTGTCTTCATTGACGACGTCAGAAACCTCGACCCAGTCCCGCTGGATGCCGTATTTGGATTGCAATTCGTCGTAGAATCCTTGCTCGTCGACGAAGGTATACTTGACGGTCCATGTGTCCTATAGCCCCAATCCCTGTCCTCACCTGTAGGTCTGTTGAGGTCTGGAGGTTTACAGGGGTTTAGAGTCGCTCGACCAGGACAAGCTAGCAGAGTGCATGCAGAAAATTTCTTCTAGACACCTTTTAGTTCAGTCACTTTGGTATATCAACAGATGCCAGCTTTGCCGATTACCCGGCTAGCTAGTAGAAGTGATCCGGCAGCAGACGGTCAACAACATCTGATATGAGAACGAGGATTTTACTGGTGGCAGTTGTAAATTAGGGTCTTGGCCGTCCAAGGAACAGAATTGATAGAGTGACTATTTGACACAAGGGACAATATAAGTTACCGTGCAACTGAGAGGCCAAGTATCCGGAGAACGTTTGGGCAAGATTGAGCGGAAATCGGCATCGAATTTGGAAAATGCAGCACTCAACGGTGTTACATATGGCGCCGGTGCCCGCAGTCTCGAAGAATATGCCTGTTAGTTCGTTCGGTCTTAGAGACCATAAGTGGTGGAGACTAGGGCAGACAATGGGAAAAGACAATGAAGGATGAAGATTGGCCCGGAAAACAACCTACTGCCAAGCCAAGAAAAGCTAATCCAAACTGTGCCTTTAGCGAAGCTTGATCCAGAGCCCCATCAGGGTCTGATTATTGCTCAGGTTTCAGATCAATAATAAGTGTCTTTGTCTCCAAAACAGGCCTCGACTAGTCTACTGGTCTCACTTTCGCGCATCCATTGATGTCCTAGCAAATTTTGGCTAGTATTCTTCCCACTAGTGATTTGGAAACTTATCCATTGCTCCGAATCGAAGTGCTGTTTATTGTTAGCTTGGGAGTTTGTGACCTAGTTCTTGGCAACGTCTCAGGGGACATGCACTGAATTTTGCAATGCAAGAGCCATGAGCTGGTAATAGCACCGGGTCAGTTATAGCAGCTGTGGCGATTTGGAAGCTTCTGAACGAATGAAAGTGAACATGAAAACTGACAATTGGATCTCGTCAGGCTACAGAGGAGAGAAATAAGATCCCTAGGTGTCCTTGTACACCCCAATCAACCCTCGCGCCTTACACCTTGATAGATTTTCGCTGAGTCGCCCCTTGCAAATCTCCTCTCTCAGCTGCTTTCAGCAAAGTGATCTGCATGATGATTGACGAGGTCGAGTTCAACAATACAGGCGATGGACCCTTGATGGTGCCAGGATTCAATGGGGTTCCCTTTGATGTCACAGCATCATCAGAGAGAACGTTTCTAGGCTCTGATGGCTGGTATCCGTCGCCTTTCACCACCCGCGAACTGGAAATGCTGAGGCTGATGAACTCCCTAACTGATCGTCCAGGCTGGGAGGAGCTGGTCTTTGATGCTTCCACCATGAAGACTTGGCAAAGTGAAGCCATGGCGCAATTTCCATTGATCAGCCCCAAGGCATGGGAATGGTGCGAGGCTGAGCTCCGTGACAAAGCACAGCGATGGCAGGAGACTGGTCGAATTGTGGTTCTGAATGCTGGCAGTGGCGTGTGTAAATCAGACACCATCATTCCTCCTGCAGTGACCGCGGAGATCCAGGACTTCGTCACTTCTGCATTAAACGAGTCTGCCGGGCAGAAGGACTGGGAACCAAGTTTAAACCGGCAGGTTTGGAACCTAATTGACCCCTCACTGTACCCGCTGAGTCGCGAACACACGAGAGTGCTGATCAGTGGCGGCAGTGTTCCGCTTGAGCAGACTCTGGACACTTATGGGCAAGGAGAGGTAGCGCCACCGCTCCATGATAAAAAAAGGGATTGGCAAATTAAAAAATACCTCTACTCACTGCGCTATCAATGGCTGCCTTGCGAGGTTGAATTCTGTGGGCCGGCTGGATCGACAGAGGTGCGGATTACTTCCTATATCAACAATCTTCACCCCCATGAGCAGCGGCCATTCTATAGGACTCTGGAAAGTGTGACATCCAAAGTTATTGAGCCATGGAACGAGATTCTGATTAGGTTTGGGGACCTGTGGTCACAGGACTCTGTCGGACGGGAGCCCATGCGAATCCGCACATTCGGGGTCGAGTGGGATAACCGTTATCCTCAATGGGCTGAGGATCTTCCGACCACGCTGGGCGTCGATAGGTCAACTGAAGATTACCAGCGGGCGCTCGCTCGCGTCAAGGAGTACCTCTCTTTACCAGAGTATGGAGTAAAGGTGCAATGGTCCTACAATACAACACGCGAAATCCCCGCAGACTGGGAGGCAACGTTATCCTTGCGTGAAGTTGTGAAGATCAAATACAGTCGCATGTTTCGGTTCCAGCACTCCGAGCCTGGCACCACCTATTCCTACGAAGACTGGAGGGCAGGACGAACGGCCCGGGCAATCGTCGGTCGTCAGGATTATGGCAACGTTGATCCCTTCACGGCACTCTGGCGGAACCGCCTCGAAATCATGGATCCAATGGTCCATAATGAGATGCTCAGAGCAAGAGATGACATCGATCATCAGTTCCAGACCGTGAAACTCCAGGACGAGTTCCGCGAAAAGGGGCTACAGATTATTGTTAAGCTAGGGGGCATTGAGCTCACTCCCGATAATCCGTCCTTCTTAGGCGAGGACTGGCACGCGGACGGTCTCCTGAATGAGCATATTGTGGGAATAGCCATGTATTTCTTTGATCTTGAAAACGTGACAGATGCCCGCATCTCCTTCGCTCAACAGATTTCCATGAATGGCGAAGATTTCTCATTTGCTGACAATAAGTGGGACGTTCCGTACCTAGAAGAATTGTTCGGTGTTCAGGATGAGGGACGAGCGTTTCAAGAACTCGGGTTTGTGTCTATACGTCAAGGGGGTCTCATCACATTTCCAAACTGCCTACGCCACCGCCTTGAATCGTTTGAATTGGTGGACAAAGCTCGACCTGGACGCTGTCGCTTTTTGACCCTGTTGCTCGTTGACCCTTTCTACCGCATCTGTTCGACGCGAAATGTGCCCCCACAGCGTCTCGATTGGTGGGAACAGGAAGCACGATCCCATCTATCGTCAGCCCATCCACTTCCCCAAGAATTGGCGGATCAAATCATTGCCGAGACTGGTCCATGGCTTATGAACTTATCAGAGGCTCAGCACCACCGGCGTGAACGAGCCAAGGACGAGGCGGTGGCTTGTGAGAAGGACAGGGAGGCGATTGAGCATTACACTATATGCCTTGTGAAGGAATGAATGCTACCTGGATTACATTAGCCATTGATGAAACTTCATAGATAAATAGGAAGATTGAGCGCCTGTGCACGCATGTGTTCCTTTCCAATCGGAATTAGTGAGAAAGGACACTAACCTGCGCAGGGTACATCACCCGCCGCAGCAAAGAGGCCGAAAGGTCCGATAACCTTGGGCGTACTGGTCATCACCCTTGGACCAACACCCTGTCAGAGTCAGACTTTAAAGAAGGCTCCCCGTTCCAGATTTCAACCCAGTCTGCTGAGCGAGAGAAGCATGCCAGGGAAGAGTTCACTTTTCGACAGGACTCTAACGACTACACGACTTCGTAAAGACTCGCAGTTTCTTTGTCGTTTGTATTCCACTAGACGAGCTCAGTGTCGACACGAGGATCCTGTCTACCGGGTCTCATCCAGCACAAGCCTACAATGATCATTAAGAACCATTCTCCTTCTATTCGTATTCATGTATGAACTTGGCAGAGTTGCAGTGCACTCTCATCATCGTATCTTGAGCATGTTGTGTGCCAAAACGGGGAATATTCGTAATCAGAGCAGCTGCTAACCCTCCGACAGCTTGCCATCAGGAAGTCCTGGTAATCCTTGGCCAGTGATGGTAGATATGCCATGTTACGCTGTCTAGAGTCTAGTCAGCGGAGGATAAGCACAAGCTGCATTCAGCTGGAGTCCAAACTCAGGGGTAAACGTACATCCCGGTCTGGTAACTACCCCTATTGTCAGCATACCCACGAAATCGACAATCGTCAAGAATACTTCATCTGAACTTGCCGGACATCTCGTAGACCCGCATGTCGATGTCGTAATACCATCCTGCAAGTCATATCCAACACCCTGCTCATCTTCCCAAGCAAATAGCATTCGCCTGTTCCAGTTCGCCAAGCGATATGCACTACAGCGTCAAGCCACAGCAATTTCGATTTTCGGCAACCCCGATTCAGCCGCAAGGCTTCCGCTTGGTTCCATGATCGCAACTAGCAGAACCGTTGTATGATAGCTGGCGGTGCAGTTGCACTGTTGTTGTCGGGTTTCTGTTGATACACATGAGTTTTACATACCATCCTGTATTTATCTGTAGTGCCGTATAGGTCAAGCTTCACAATATTAATCACTTGAGTAGGGAGTACTCCTACCTAATCCTGATATAGGGGGTAGGTAATGTACCCTAGGTACCTATTCGCTGTAGACACAGTCACCGCTCCCCGTAATAATAATACCACTCACAGAATTCCAACGGCTGGTATGTGACAGCCCCACGTGGCAAGTGCCAGCGCCCAGCGTAAGCATAAGCGCGTCCCTGAACAGATTGGAACGCCTCAGGCATGAGCGGTTTGTGCTTTGACCTCGGCCAGGGCCGGCATGTATGGCTGATCTGGACGGTGATTAGCCCGCCCCCGAGCCACTATCGATCTGCGAATGTAAATCGCACCAGGCTGGCTGCATCTCTGACAAATACTTGGAATGGATGGTGGGAGCTGAGGTCTCGCTGAATATATCCCAATGCAGACACTCGCTTGTCTGCCAAGAGGGGACTGCAGGGTGATTGACTGGCTGCGCAGGGCAGGGGGTTGGTGACTGACTCGGTGATACTTGCAGTGAAGTGAGTGTGGAGCTGAATACTGAATAGCAGAGACGAGAGCTAACTGCCAAGTAACCATAAGAGCCATGCAATGCAATAGAAACTTTCTTATTATCGTTCAAGGGATTTCAATTTCAGGCTTGTTGTATACCTAGGTGAAAGACATCCATGGTAATACTGTGTACTTGTGGTAAGGTATGTATTATTACCAGTTAGAGGGTAAGGTAATAATACTGTATGGATACTGATCAAGGATAGACGATCCCCAAGCGGGTACTCTAACCCCATCAAGCAAGTGGATTACTCTCAGATGATTTCTTCCACTCAAATATCTGCATTGCGTGATCGACCGTCAAGACCAACAAATTACAATTAATAATGATACAGCTGTTCATCCCTTAGACAGTACCTAGATCGTAAGGTATCTGAATTCTGAAT